CAGCAAAAAGTACGTTGTTATTTTAACAGTCCGAAAGACATAATAGAACAAAGAAAAATAAATGCTTGTAACCTGTAGCTGTTTGGAATCTTTTCAACCATTATAATACACACACCCGAATAAAAATAGTTTGGAATTCAGCCGATTTAATTGCAAACGATTTTGTTATATGTCTAATCTTCCGAATATCTCTTCCGCACGTTGTTCAGTCTGGAATGAAAACACTGCTTTTGTCATTCGTACGTTGACTGCAGCTAAGTCTATTTCTAGCAGCTCGTGCATCATCATTGACAACACACTTCGGTCCGCCCTCCCCACAATTCTATTCCAGCTCTTAATTCTATTCTTATTTCATTTTCAATCCGTTCAGAGTTGTGTCGCTCATCTATAAGCGGTGTCCTCATGCTATAAGGACAACCCGCCGTATTATTACCGACACAGACGTTTCAAATAAACAGACAAGCAAAACAAGAATATCGTTTTTCCCCCCCTCTTTTCGTTCCTCTCTCCCTTCATATTTTTTGTTTTAGTTTTTCTTTTTTGTAATCTTTCACGCTTCACGTGCAATTACGAGATTTCGCCCGATTCTTTTTTTTCCCCTTTGTTACTTGGCATCTCTTTGATGTTCGCCGACCCGTTGGCAGAGGGCCTCCTGACTTGAATATTTAATCAGTCACGCGTTGTAACTTTTCTCCTTTTCCCCTTCCCAACCCACCACCGTTTCAATGTTTCTTTATTATTATTATTCGTTATCATTAAGTTTCTCTTTCCTTTTTAGCGTGTATTCGATTTGTGTGGTGCGAGGTTAATCGCTTCTAGTTCTAGTTTCCGAATTCAATTAATGTTTACCAGATCAGCCATTACACGATAATGAAAGGATCATAATGAAATATTTAAGTAAATTGTATCCGGCAATTTTTCGTAATTTTAGCAAATATACTCTTAAATATGACGAATAAACAGACACGAAATGTTTTGGTAATTCGCTTCTAGATTCTGAAGTAATATATTCTGAAACAACAGGAATTTTTCTTATATTATAAATGACGGGAAGAAAAATTCATGTGCTGTTTTATTCGTCATATTGATGTTATAAATAAACTGTTTTATTCGTCATATTTACAGTGCATTTGCTAAAATTATGCAAAATTGCCATATATATATATATATGTGTGTGTGTGTGTGTGTGTGTGTGTATACACACGTTTCGAGAGTATTTGGGCTAAAAATATTTAAAAACAGCATGTCTTTAGAATTTCCGAATATCTCATTTCGTACAGTGTGTTGCCACTGCTCGCTTTGAAATCGCTGAGATTCTTAATCAAAAATTCGTTAAAGTTTAAAAAATATGAAATAGATAATAAAACAAATTCGAAATTCAAGATTCGGGGCTTCCAGGAGCCCCATATTCGTATGAAGGACTACGAAAATCTGATGTCTCTAGGTACCGTTGTTTTTTCACAGTTGCGAGAAACATGTTCAAACAAAGATCATGCAGATTCTTCATTATTTAAGTTCTTTAAATACATGGTGATAATATTTGGTGGCAACAATTTGAAAAGTGATACAGCTGTTCATAATTATGCGACGCAAACTGCCTTTTCGAGACTAATAGCCCTTCTGGGCTAACGCTCCTTTGGGCTAAAAAGTAAATATTATAACTAAATTAAAAATTTTACACATTAAATATTTATCAAAGCGTACATAATAATAATAATAATAATAATAATAATAAATAAAGGCGAAATTCAAATTTTTGAGTTTGAATTAAAAGCAACTTTTTAAAGTTATGCACAGTTCCAGATTGTATTGATATGAGGTAGATCTAACAAGCATAAATAAACAGGCTTTATAAGCTGTACGTTACTTTGTTTCCACCTGCATAGCAATATGAACTGTGCAGCAGTTCATCCAGCTAACTAGCTACTTATTGACTCAAGGAAAGTGTATCTCAGAAGTACCAAATCAGTAGAGGGCACAGAATATTGCAACTACCTGTTTTGGGCTGGCGAAATAAATTTACTGATAAAAATGTACCGACGTGAAAAGTTCTCCCAGGTTACTCCCGTCACTACATAGTCGGGCATAGAAGCATTATTCTTTCTGCCCTTTTGCCTTCAGTAGCAATCGCATGTGAATTGAATGTTGAATTCTAATCCATAGGTTCTATTTGGGAGAGCTATTTTGGCTTTTACATTCGATTCAAATTACAACTTCAATTATGTCTTAATGACTATTTATTTACACATATCTTTATATTACAGTATTTACATGGTAGTTGATAATTACTTTAAAACAGTACATTTTAATTGTTTTCTAAGTCAGGAGTTTGTCTTTACGCTTCTCCGAGCGGTTCGAATCTAGTCTCCTTCCCAGATCTCACTTAGAGAAAAAGAAAGGAAGAATGCCCGCCATCTAGAGGCAAGAATGGGTTAGCATGCAAAAGCTCAGTCTATATCTCTTATGTCTCTAAAATATAAGCACCCCATTTACAACAAATATATAATTAAAATGTATTCGCAAATCATCTAAAATACAGGGCCGGATACGCACGGTCCGCCGGTATGAGATCATTTTTATGATTCAGCATCCATTGCATAATGGCTAGATGTACGCATTCGCTGTAAAAATTCGAACATGGGAGCTTCATGAAATGCAACAGCATCAAGAAAAGATAATACCTAGTTCGATTTCCCTTTATTCTCAAAAAAGTACTGGATTGCTTGTGATGACAAAAAATAAGTATGTACAGAAATGTGAATTTCCAAATTAAGTATGCATACTAAGGGAATAAACCAACATCATTTTGATTATCCCGTGTTCTGTCAACGGAGGCTCATCCATTCCTTGTTTTGGATTTTCCAGATTTTGTTTGGATTTTCTTGGCATTATGTACTGAAAATATTGCAGTATTACCAAACCTTAATGCTATATTCTTTCTTCTGTCAACAGTTACTACAGTTACAGAAAGCTGTCCAGAAGAAACGGTGTTACGTTGTGAATCATCATCATGACAATGCAAAACGAGACACAGTATTCATTATTGATTTATCTGTTTGGGGATTTTATATTGTTTAAACCTGATTATCAGATATTGCCTTATCAGATTGTCAGATCAAAGATTGAATCAAAAATAATTTAGCAAAGACTTTGAGGCCCTAAGCACTTTAAAGATTTTGGTGGCTCTGCATATATTTACATTATAACATCTGCCCTCCCATTCCTTTTCTGTCAGTTTTGCTTCTTAGCTGCACTATACATTACCGGGTAAAACTCTGTGTGGGAAATTCTTGTGGTGCTTCCTTTCCTTGAATCCTAAGTACCTTCTTTGTGGTGCATCATTTCTTTGATACCTAAGCACGTGCTTATTTTGCTCAATGCTCAGTCCAGCTCTGCTGTGATTAGGCCGATCATTGGGAGAATTTTATAAAGCAATGAATGCGAATATTATAAAGCTTATTCGCCACAGCCTGTGATTTTTTCCCCCCAAATCTAAAAATGATAATTTCTGTAAACTGAAAACCAGGAAATTGTCAGAACGTTGGAAACATATCGTTTCTGATCATGGCAACTATAAAGGGCCGTAACCTGTCTTTTCATAAAGGGCATACTGTTAAAAATCGAAATTTAGGGGGTATTAAAGAATGGAGATTAGCAAAGTTTAGTTATTATGTATTTATATATTAACTCATAAATAAAATAATATAAAATATAAGTAATACAATTTAAAACTGATCAATTTTCGGGTCTTATGAGTGTTTTAAAATAAATTAATATTAACGAACGATTTACACTGAAAATAGCCAGAATATTTGGTTTACAGAAATAATGCTAAGACTTAAGATAGAAACAAAAACTATAAATAACCCTTACGACCATACACTAGAAACAAAAATCTATAAATAACTCTTACGACCATCCACGTTAGAATTAAAATTATTTGAATGTGATTTCTGCTCTTTTATTTAAAATTCTTTTATGGCATCTTCATAAAGTAAGGATAATACTTTAACTTCGGTAATTATTTTTCGATAGGTAATATGCTAAGAAAACTTAATATCTCTTGTGACTGCATTACTTCGATTTAATTATTAATTTTCAGTGCTGAAAATGGTCGTATCGCTGATGCAATTGAAGCTGGTATTGGTAGAATGAGTGAAGATAATTTTTAAATTTCACTCATAATGCTGTGAGTAGTGCTGATATTCATATATGACATAAGTTCATGTACAAGTTTATTTTCTGACTCTACGAACTAATGAACTCAATGAACTAATTATTAAGCTTTATTAAATAAAATAGCTTTCAGTACGGACTGGCACTTCGTTTATTTAGCAATATTTCGAGAGAATTAGAATTATAAGAAACCAAACCTCTTTGAATTCAGAAGGTCTGTTAAATTCAAGCTTATCAGAGAACAAAATCTTTCGTTTATTTGATTAGATATGTTTATATATACAGGTAATTTCAGTATAAATTCACCTGATTTCACATTTGTCGCATCATCTGATTTCACATAAGACTTTTTCCTGGCCAATTCATTTATCTTTTAGGAATTGGAATTTTCCAATCCAAAATCTGGTATGTAACGTAAACACATTAAAATTTTGTAATCTCTTTTTCACAGTAAGAGTATCTAGCGTTTTCGTTTATAAAATCAAAATAGAAATCACCTATAGGAGAAAAAAGGTTCTTACATTCAGCCAAAAGCTTAAGGAACCCTTGAGCTTGTGACAACATACTGCGAATCTTCTATAACAATATTATCTTCCCTAAAGACGACTGTAATAAATAATATTTCTGGTTATTCAGACATGAAATTAGCTCGAATTAAAATTCTGAGCAATGTGATAGTGAGGAATAAAACCTGAAAATTCTTCTATTTCCATTCACTTAATTACCATTTCTTAGAGGAATTTTAGTTGGTGTTAAAGTTATTTATTTTATTTATTAACTTGTTCCGTAAATAATATGTTGAAGTTGTGGATTTTGCCTTGCAGGAACTATCGTTTTCATTGTGTGATGAAGGTTCTTGCACAAAGAATAAAACAGATGAACAAATTCCTCTGCAAGGTGAGAAACTGATTTAAATTCTTAAACTGATCTAAATTGGCAGGTCTTAGTGTTTGTCATATTTTCATTCGAGGGACTGCAATTTTGAAAAAAATTCGGTTTTTGAAGTATTAGTTGTAGTGATTTAAATCTAGATTTCTGTTTCATAACCGTGATTTTTCATGTTATTATCTTTAATACAAAGTCTGAAAAAGATAGCTGTCCTCAGAATATCAGTCAACTTGATCAGGTATCCAATGGCATTACTTTTTTAAATATATGTATTTGTTCATTTAATGATACTATACATTCAAAAGAAATCATTCTTGTGCATGTGAGTTAAAAGAGAAATGTCCGCTTTTAAAATGAGAAATTCTCTACTTTAGTGTCTAAAATGATCGAGTTTGAAATTTCTGCATGGCCACAAGACATTTTAAATTAGACCCATCCCCAAGAGTTCAGTGTGATAGACTCATTCAAATAGAAAGGTTCATGATAATACAGGGTGTTTATAAAGTCCGGGACCCATTTTGATGTTTAATAACTCATAAAATAATAAAGATAGATTAAAATTAATAACATAAATGGTTAGATACACTCAAAAAGTTTCATGACCCTTGTCAATGAACTTCCACGTGTGCCCCCTTCGTCGCACGGAGAATATCAAGTTGATATTCAATTTCACGCCAGGTACCGGCCAGTATGTCGGCATCCACAGAGGCTATTGCGGTTGTAATTTTGGCATTTAGGTCATCAATGTTCGATACTCTCTTCCTGTAAACGTTGTTCTTTACAAATCCCCAAAGATAAAGTCCAGCGGCGTTATATCAGGAGATCTGGGTGGCCAAGGAATTGGACCTCCTCGCCCAATCCATCTTCCTGTAAAATGGTCATTCAAAGAACTACGAACGATGGTACCCAATGAGGTGGTGCATCATCTTGTTGCAAAAAGACATAAACTCATAAAATTTCTTCTAGTTCCACAACTAGAAGCTCCTCTAGTTGTGGAAATGCGAAGTTTTCGAACATGTCTAAGCATACGACTGATGCGATCGTCTTTTCTGTAAAAAAGAAAGGTCCAATGACTCGGTCGTGCATTAATCCACACCACAAATTAACCTTTGGGGAATTTTTTTGTGCCTCACGGTATTCATGGGGGTTTTCAGATCCCATATGCCACATTATGGCGATTACAATGCCAGAAAGATGAAGGATGTTACGATGATTTACAGACGATATTTAGAAAAGTACAATTATTTAGACTGGAAAATGAAATTATCTGAAATTAACCACACGCGCAGACGATATTTACAAAAGTTAAGATATTCAAACCCGAAAAAGAAAATATATAAGTTATGCCATCAATAAATGCCATAAGTTTGTTTATATCTTCATTATTTTATGAGTTATTAAACATCAAAATGGGTTCGGGACTTTATAAACACCCTGTATTATCAGTTTTATGTACTTCAAATGAAAAGTTAATGAAATATGAGCAAAGAAACAACTTTCGGAGAATTTATGATTGAAAACGCAGTAGAAACTAATAGCTTTATCCAAAAATTTTCGCAAACTACTCAGTCTGGGATTTCCAGGCGACATCACATATATAATTAAGTCCTGCTTGACAGGTAGAAACTTTGTGGTTCACCTTTCAAAGACATACTCTTCCCGCCGTGGTATTCGAACCAGCGTGCCACAGGGCACCTTACCGGGGCCTACACTTTTCAACTTATATGTGAACAATGTGCTGCAAACATTCAACACCAAACGGTTTAGCATTTTATTCTGATGATATTGCGATTCTTTCACAAAATGCTTTTCATCGTACCTAGCTTGTGAGCTGGAAAATTGAAATTAATGTGGTTAGATCCACAGCAGTTATCTTAAACACAAGAAAAGGAAAATTACCCATAATCTTAGCATGTATGAAAACACCATGGTGATCTTTGACAGTAAACTTTCATGTTCTTACACATGCACTGTATTATCCATAATTTCCGGGCGCGTAAAGCGAAACTAACTCTTAACTACCCGGAACAACATTTTATTTATAAACAGGTTATTCATACACAAAACCATCTTGCTTCTCATGCTTTGTTACGCCTGCCCAGTTTGGGCATGCTCCTGCCTCACCAATCGCAAACAGTTACAAACGGCTCAAATCTTCATCCTGAGACAAATATCTGGCTGCCCAATGTACATCAGTAATAATAAAACTCACGAGGAACTGCGCAATACCCAGCTACGTTCCTACAATTATTTTATTGTCCTGTTTTCATCTAAGCCTCAAGAAAAATTAGATTAGCATTATCCCAATATAAAACTATAATCACTGCTCTTCAGAAAACATCGAGATCTGTGACTATTCTTAATAACGTAATGTAGATTCTGTCTCACTTATGTCACTGTTTGACGTTTATCGTTCTGTATTTATGCGTTTTTCGGTTGCCTATTCTAATCCCATTTCTCATGTGCTTATTCTTTTTTTGCGTCATTTTATTCCTTTTTCAAGAGCTCCCCGCATCTGTCTGTTTTTATAATGTATCTGCTTGCAGTCTCGAACATTTGAACTCTTACCACAGAACTATGAACTACTGAAATGTACCCATGTTTTCTCATTAGCTCATTCAGCCTATCATTTCTTCGTATCCTGTCAACATAGTAGTCATAATTTTGAAATTTAGGGTTTTTTACCTACCATTTGGACTTGTGAATAATCAGAAATTTTAGATGAGTTTTGAGAGAGGTTGGGTCTCGTGCCCAAGTATTCTGATGACCGAACCATTCAATCCCTGTAGACTGGGTATTGCCCCTTCTCTGTCAAAGTTCAGAATTAAATTTTGACATTAGAAAATGTCTTTCTAAAAGTTTTTAATTATTATGTTACGCCACCATGGACAAGCCGATTTATGACTTTTAAAAGCCCTAAGCACAAAGATTATGGAAACACATAACACATTTATTCCTTCCCCCCCCCCCATTCATTCTCTTTCGACCTCGGTTTGGCTGCAGTATACATTCCATTTTAAAAAAGCAATGAGAAATTTTTGTGGTGCCCCCTTTCCTTTTGTGGTGCCATCTTTTTTAATGTCTTCTTTTCTTCATGACCTTAAGTACGTGCTCTTTTTGCTTAATGGTTAATCCAGCTCAAATCACGGTTATATCATCCACTGTGCGAAACTTACGATGTCTAATTCTACGCGCTTCGCGCATGATAAAACCTTACGGTTGTTGTTATTTCAGCGAAACACAAGTCTGTAATTTCAGAAACAAATAGCGATTTAAAAGCAATAAACTTATTTCTTAACAGCTTGAAAATCTATTTTATTTTCAAATGTACTTAACTGAGATTAAAACACGTTAAACTACCTTATTGTAATTAATAAAAGACATTTTTTCATAATATTTGGTACAAATGTTTTTTATAGTAAACCTTTTCACTCCTTTTTATTATTTTATATATATATAAATTTATAAACAAAAAAAAAAAAAAAAAAATGCCACTCGTGTCGAACTTTATATTTCAAAATCATTGGTTTATTCCGTAACGAGAAGGCAGTGGAACTGTGATCAAAGATACGTATCTGTTGTCCATCAAAGCCCGCTTCCAACAAATCATAGGAAAAGTGAAGTTATAGCTGAAGATAATAACAAAAAGACACTAAAAAATTAAGCAAAACACACCTCCTGGAGGCGCGGAACTCTCTTTTAAGTGTTGATGATCCTCAGTTGCCGGCGAAAAGGGGGGGAGTGTAGGGGGAATAAGCAACCTCGGTCTTTTATGATGCGCTTGCCACAAAAGCGAGCAGTGATTTAAAGCAGACGCCTGCCATCGAATTATGTGGACCTGTTTTCCGACTGTAAAGAGACCGCCAGCTCGTGATCCTGACACTGCTAGCCTGTGGCTCGAGTGTTCAGCTGACCCTCCTTCCCCTTCTATGCCATTCTGTCATTAAAAGAAAAGAGAATCACGTACGTTTTCCTCCTTTCATTTTTATAGCGTTTCTAAAATCTGGTTATCCCCCTTGCTATCCTGTGGGCGATCTTCATTGAGGTGAAATTTCCTCTAGTTTGTTTCTACGGCATTCGAAATTGCACAAAAAGATGCCATTATATCATACAGTTCGGAACTTCTTTATTGCGTTTCGCTTGCCTTTCAATAGATGCTGGATTCCATTAAAGTGTGAATGCTCATTGGAAATAAGTATTTTTGAAGTTTAGGTCAAAGTGGCATTTTAGCGAGATCTAAAAACAGAGCAAGCCAACTGAGATCCTTGATGCTCTTATTTTACGGCCAGCAGCAAGATTAACAAATTTTACTATTATTATTGATTGCGCAAGGCACAAATTTATATTTTCTATTACTTTTACTAGTATTTTAAATCTTAAAAATTAAGGGCGTAAATATTGTACGAGAAAATAAAAATAATATTTTTAATTTCTTGCATATGTAATTCGTTCTGTTTACGACAGTATTACCAAGATTATTAAATAAAATATAACTTAAAATATGTTTACTACTATCTTACGCCAAGATTAAATATTCTAGACCAGTGGTTCTCAACCTTTTTTGTCCTATGTACTCTTTTCTGCTAGAAGGTGATCCCTCCTCCTTTCCAAAATCTTAAAAATGCATATATACATTTATTTAAATTTAGATTATTTTCTAACGTGTTTTATAAATTAAACAGCAAAAATGTAAAAAGCGTTGGTAAATACCAAAACTTAATAAAGTAGAATAAAGGTAGTTTTTTTTTTTTATGTTCATAACCTAAAACTAAATATTTAACAGCTAAATACAAAAAGCTGACTACATCCCCCACTCGCAAAACTGTGAAATTTGCACTGGTTGAGAGCCTCTTATCTAGAAGCATAAAACACTTGGGGGGGGGGAGGCATTGTCTAGCTGGTGACTTTCATTCACATTGTAAATTGCGGCTTATCAAGCAGAGAAGTTAGGCATCTATAATACATAAAGTCCGTATCAAACTTCTCATAAATTTCTAAAACTTATGCAG